TTATAAACTTAGTAGCTCTGAAGTGAGGGGAGTAGGGCGGCTCAATTAAATGTCCGGCATCTGGGTATTCGAGTCTCGTCAGCAGGTGCTCGTTTCCTGCTGCACGCATCATCTGTGCCATCTGAGGTCAGATAAAAACATCCAAAATGTAAAGAGAAGGTATGGAAGAAAAAATGTGCACACTGTTCAATATATGTAACATTACATATTTACAAATGTGTGTGAGACTTTATATATTTGTGAAGTGCTTCTTAAGGTACTCATAGGTATGTGTGCGTGTGTTCTCACATCCTCAGCAGACTCCACTGTGGGCCAGTTTTGATCATCATCGCCGTTCACCAACAATATCGGACAATTTATTTTCCCAACCTCAAAGAGAATACACAAAGAAAAACTTCAATATGCCTTTTCAGAATAAAGCAATAGTAATCAATAAAAAAAGCGATGGTAATGATGGGCACTTTAACTAAAACCCGGAAATGTGTTAGCATTTTAGCAATTTCTGTTCCCTCGTCTCAAACTCTAAAGTTTTCTCTATCGATTAGAGGACTAAAATAAATTCTGCACTAAATAGAAGCTGAAGAGATTTTAACATTTTGTTTTTACGACATAAAACGTGTCAGTAAATACCCAACTAGTTTTCTAAAGCTTCTATGTGTGTTCAAAATAGCGTTTGCTAACAAGTGCCTAAAAATGAGACTACTAAACGTCATCATGCTTAACATTAGCCACCTTTAGCTTAGCGGTGGTGAAGTCATGTGACCTAGATGTATTTAGTTTATTGCCTTCAATTAGATCTCTGCTTCTGCAGGTTGCATTAAGGTTTCAACATTTATAAAAGTGTTGTTAATATGTGGAGATTATCTTGCCGAAGCAAAACATGTTAGCCCTTTAGGCGTACGAAAATGTTGAAAAATGTGTCATTAGGGACACTATAGTTCAACAAGTACTTACGTCCACTTTCTGTGAGATATCATCGGGAATCGGTAGGCCCATACCTCGCCAAATCTCGTAGTTGTTCTCATCCATGCGCACCTTGTGTACGTTCCTGTTATTACAAATAATTGTTCCCATCAGTCCAGCTTTTGTGTACTGTAGTTCTGTGACTGACTAAATAACTGAGTACCTACTTGAAGAACTCATTGAAAACACCTCCAATGGTCCCCCCACGTGCACGTGTGTGGTTGCCACTAATGCAAACACAGCAACGAGGCTGGAACCGAACACAAAGAGAGTTATCACAGTTTGTTATCAGGGCCAAATCTCAAACTTGAAAATGTTCAGCCCTCTGTTGCACAATGTCTAACAGCCAAGACTTCTGATTGTAGTTGTTTTGTTCTATTGCTGCTAAATTTGTCACTTGCCTTGACGACACTGCTCAAAGCTGCCAAGGAGATGCTCACGATCGAGCCGAGGGACAGTCCAAAAAGTCCAACTCTGTCCGACATCACCTGAGGATGGTCCCTGACGATATTAAACGCTGTCTGTGTAGATGATTGGAGAAAAACAAGAACGTTTGTTACTTGTCTTTGACATACATGAAGTCTGAATATAGTATATTAATAGAATATCATAACCAAGACAAACCTCAAAATAGTTGAGCTCTAACTCTGCTGTGTTAACCTCTGCAGGGTTAAAATACTCCAGCGCCATAGAAGCATAACCGTGAGACGCCAGCAAGGCCGATCGATATTCCAGCAGCCCCCCGCCGCCCCCCCACATATCCAACAGGCCGGGGAAGGGGCCTGGCCCTGAGGCACGCACAGACATAAAACAGATCACTTATTATGCTATAATCCAACCAAATGCAGGGTAGTTATTTAGCTGAGGCAGGTGTACCTACCATGGGGTATGAACAGGGTCCCTCTCACTCCTTTCTCTTTGATGTCGATCCTCCGGACCCCCGGAGCCATGTACCATCTCTCTGTGAGCACGGAGGCCAGAGGATCCTGCTCCCTGAAGCCCACACCAACATGTCCACTGTACACCGAGATATTAACTAGCTGAGGGATGCACACGTTCAACTTTCTCAACCTGACGGGTAAAAAGATTTTCATTTAGTTCCGTTTTTAGAGTGAATTTGCTAGTTTATAAATGCAGTTTTATGTTACACATAAAATAATTTGATCATTTATGAGTTCTGTATTATTGATAGTTCTGTATTTTCTAATTTATTTAATTTTATCTCACTTTTTCTTTTTTGTAAACACGTTTGTATTATTGTATGAAATGAAAGTATGTTTGAGTACTCAAAAAAGCGCTTTATAAATTAAATGTACTGCTATTATTAACAAATATATAAGCAAATATTATATATTGTATGTAATGTTTATATTAGCTTAGGAAATGGATATGAACTCCATTCAAAAAGCAAGCGTTTAAAGTTTGGTTGCTTGCAATCCTAACCTGAATAAGCTTGAATTAAAATAAATGTGTTGGCTAATGTTTAGATTAATTCCCTCTGCAGGTGTATTACCTGAGGCCTTCCCGGCTGCCTGGGACAGGACGCATACTCCACAACAATCCCATGGCTTCTTTCCCTGTGTAGGTTCCCCCACAACTCAAATCATCTGCAACTAAAAGAAGCATTACAATATCAATACAACAAAGATTAACAAGCAATTTGGCTGTAAACGGAAGTACAGGAGGAGCTGATGTTGAACTTATAAATAAAATAAAATAAACTCATATTATTAAACAAAGCTGTTTCAAAGCTGAAAATGTCCCTAGTAAGGGTAAAGATGTAAACATTAGTTTGAGGAGATAAAAAAGAGGATACCTCACCAGAAACAGTGCCTCTGTGATCACTGACGTAGTGCCCAAAGGCCTCCCAGTAGTCCTTGTCCTCGGACTGGTGGAGGGAGTGAAGGGTCACTGGAAATCCTGGAGGCAGATTCTCCACCTGCACTTTGAACGCCTCGTCCACCATAGCCCGAGAGGGGTGCACGGAGACAACCGGGGGGCCGGTGTGAGACATGCTGGAGAATCCTCTGTGAATCCACGGCTTGAGATGTTTGGTGTAATGGTTTAACCTGGTTAGTGGTATATAATAATAAGTACATTTAATCAAGTACAATTTAGAGGTTCTTATACTTTGCTTCAATATGAACACTTTATGTTACTTCATTTATATTAAATATATAGTCATAATTATTGCATTATTACAGATACCCAACAGTTAAAAAAAATGTAATAATCAATTCAAGGTTACTCTTATACCTCCTTTATTTCAATATTATCAATTTCTGAAAATGTTGTACTTTTTACTCCACTACAGTTATCTGATAGAGCGTAATTACTCTTTAGATTCAAATTGATAATACAAAATACAGATATACAAATAAAAACTGATATATTACCATCTATTTAACCATTCAGCATAATACGTAGAGTTGTTGTACTAATACCAGTACTTTCGTACTTGTAATGCTTAACTTTGACTTGTAACAGAGTTTCTCTACATTGTCGTATTACAACTTTGACCTAATAAGCGTATTTCATACAAGTAATAACAACTGAATTAACATGTTTCCATGCACTAAATACTGCCTTCCCTATTATCTTGTTTCTAGACTTTTCTGTCAAAGTAATAGTAGTACCAACCTCAGGCATTTATGACCAGATACTTGCAGTTGAGCTCTGTGTAAAATACACAGAACTCAGTATACCTCTCGAAATGCGGACAAGATACATCTTTAGCAGGCGAAAACACACTTTTACAAAGTTTTAACTAAGCGTGAAGGCACCACGAGTTAGCTCTCTCGACCGCTAGCCTCAGTTAGTTTAACCAGTTTTAGCTCCACAATTTAGCGTTGAAATTCATTATTAAAAAACGACATCCCGCCCCAAAACAAGCAACCCTTCCCATTCTACAACAACAAAGTTGTTGTCATTTGAATGCAAATTCTGCACATTCAATAGACATGTATTCGCCGTTAGCTCACTAGCAAACCTTACCTTTGGCTTACCTTTCAAGAAGAAGTGACCACCTCGACCCTTGGAACCCTTAATACCACTGAGCACTGGGATTAGGTTCAGTGAAGCCAAGGACAAGCCGTGAAAAGCCATTCTCCTGTTTTCTAAATGAAACCCTTGTTTATAAGAAAACCCTAGCCTAAAAAGTTCAATCAAAATACTCCGTTTTTGGTCGTGATTTTGGTCGCGTTGCGTTCAAGTTATGTATGTGTAAATGAGAACCGTTCAACCTGTTCCACTTCCGTTCATTAATCGTCATTGCATTGATTTAACTCATTTGCTATTAATTTATTAATTTCTCATCCGTTATACTTTCTTTTAAAGAGTATAGTTTTGTAGTTATTAATTCAATACATATTCAATTTATTAAATAGTTTCAGGTTAATCTACACAAGTCCATAACTTTGATAATAATTAATAGATACATGAATAATATCTTAGTAAAGAAATACGACATTATAGCTAAACAGGACATGGCAACAAAACAAAATAAGATACTTGAATGTGAAAAAAAAATAAGATGGGGAAATTAAAGGTTGCAAAAGACATTTGTAAGATGTAATTAACTTAATGTAAATACAAATATTAATTTGATCTTATCCTATTAAATCAGCCAAATATTGCTTTAAGGCTGAGTTCATAAATGTATGATACTATTCTTATGTGCAACATCAATGTGTTTATGTTTTTTTTAAATAGGGTGTTATCCATCAAAGTCACAACATGATGTACATTATATTATCCCGTTTATCAACTTTAACTGTGTATAAATGTGACATCATGTGATGCAAGAAAACCAAGGTTATGTGTTTCGTAATATGTACAGATAAATGAACTTCATTTATGATTTGCTTAGGCAAACCCATCAATAGTATATTATATGTAAATAATATATATATATAGTTATAACCAATCATTTTAGTTAAACTTAACTTGTGTGCTTTATATAATAGTTTAAGTCTGTAATTCATTTCATGTTCGTTATGACAAATAAACAAATACAAAAGCGGAACCATGTCAACTTCCGGTATATTCCCGGACCTATCTCAGAGACGGACCGGAAACAGCGTGAGGTTACCGAAGTCTTCTCTGGAGTTTTGCACCCGGTAAGTTTTAAATAAGCTCTCTTTTGTCCTTTTGGGCTCATATTCTACCTAAAAAATTGTCACTTGTTCAGTGTTTATTTGCTGTAAACTAAACCACCTTGATAAAAACGTGAATTTCTAAAGGATGTTATTTCATGTTTCCATCCTAATGGCGGGAGAGCCCAGGAGCCTCGTTGCTGCTTTGACTTTGAGTTGACGTTCAAACATTTTGTTATTCACATTATCTGTTTCTTTGACTGTATATAGATCTTTCTACAGACCCACAAACACTGAGCAGACTTATCTGTAGCAGCTAATAATCTCACCAGACTCCATTCAAAAATATGCTAATTTACTTTTTGTTTGTTGCTAAGTATGTTTTCACTATCTAGAATATTTCAACACAAATATGAAAAGAGGTCCTGTAAACAGAACAAAAACATACACAAAATGTAAAGCATAACTTTTATAACGAGAGCTGTGTAGGATGTGCAGATATATGAATATCTCAAATAATGTATAAGATGTTTGTGTTGTGTTCACATATCTTTAATCAGATTGTACAGGTGCTTCTCAACACATTTGAATATAATGGAAAAGTAAATTAATTTCACTAATTCAATTTTTAAAAGATGAAACTCGCATATTATATAGATTAATTTAACACAAAGTGAATTATTTTCCTTGGTTGGGCCTCCTATTGCATGAATGACTGCGTCAATGTGGCATGGCATGGAGGCATTGGTACTTTTCACAGTGTGGGCGTGTGCCATTATGGGATATTGTCAAGAGGAAGATTAGACACGACGAGACCCAACAATGCAGACGAATCGAAGCAACCTGGCTTCCATAAAACCTCAGCAGAGCCAATGGCTGATCGCCTTCATGCCGTGCCTTAGTGATGCAGTATTCCATGTTAAAGGACGCCCAACCAAGTACTGAGTGCATACACATGAGTATACTTTTCGGCAGGCTGACATTTCTATATTTAAAAATCTTTTTTTGTATTGTTCTTAGGTAATATTCAAATATGAGATTTCATTAGCTGTAAGCTGCAATCCACAAGATTCAAATAAATAAACGCTGGAAATTCATCTACGATTTTCCACTTTATTGAGATGCACCTGTATTGCATAAGATTGCTTCCTCTTCATACCTCTTTGTGCTGTTAAATATTCAGTTGCTAGTTTATTAGGTACAACTAGCTAAAGGTAATGCAGTCTAATACAACAGTCCTGCATTAAAACCTTCTTATTATGGTTGTTTTATTCAGGTGTTGATTAGCTTCATCTAAAATATTGAATTGTATTTAATGTTTATATTATTTATGGTAAATAAAAAGGCCTTTCTTGTTTGTATAGTTTAAAACAGGAAACTTTACATTAATGTCAGTGTTGCGAATTCCTTGCATTTTTTTTCATTAGATTTTTCTTGCTTTTTTGTTGTTCAGATCACTCTCTTAAAAGTCCTCAGAGCTGTCTGTGCAGCGCAGACAAGATGTTGAGAAATGCCTCTGCACAGGTGAGCATCAAGTGAAGGTTACTAAACCAGATTTATTGTATTTTAAACCTTTTCCTGTTCTCTTCTTTACAACGGTAAATATTTGATCTCTTCCCTCCACAGATCTTCAGGCAGGTGGTGAGATATAGCAGCACAGAAACCAGCCTTATCCTGGAAAGATGTGAGTAAAGGTTCCTGTATACCTGAAGAGAACAACACTGACTTGCCTCTTAATAGCTGAAGCTCAAATGATGAGGGTCTCTGTTCTTTATTCCAGCGATCAACCGCGTGCAGCTGTTGGGCCGAGTGGGTCAGGACCCGGTGATGAGACAGGTGGACGGGCGTAACCCCGTCACCATCTTCTCAATAGCGACCAATGAAATGTGGCGCTCTGGAGAGGGAGAGACGAGCACAACAGGTAAAACGTCATGTGATACTCAGGGCTATAATTACTGAATATTACGTTTCTTTAAGCCTCAAAAGTTTGCAAAATGCTTAAAACAGGGTTCCTGCGGGGTCTTAAAAAGTCTTAAATTTTATCATCTTAATTTAAGGCCTTAAAAAGGTCTTAAATATGACCAAAAAAATAAGAAAGGTCTTAAATATGATTTAGAAGATCTTAAAAATGATGGGATTTGAAAGGTACTTCTGTGTTGCGATCACGTCTGAATTTGTTTTGGGGAAATGTCCGGGCTGCAAAGTAACCAGTATGGTAATAGCCTTTCAGTTCCCCCCAACAATTTGTATTGAAATAAATCAACATGGAACCAGTAATCACTGACTTTGTTTTCCCCGGCCCCTTATCGGAGAACGCCCAGCTAGTAACCTAGCAACCAAGCTTCAGCTAGCGGCAGTCAGAAACTCATGTATCTTCGAATCTACTTACAAATAAATATGGGGAAGTGTAAGTTCAACTGTATTTGGTTGGAAAACCTCAAATTTAGTGCTTGGTTGAAACCAGTGGAGGGGAACGTGTTTGAAGCCCACCGCACCTTTTGCAAATAAAATTAGCGTTTGTTTTGCTAATGTAGCGTTAGCTATTGCAGCAGCTCCCGCAACAACATCGGGGGACCTCCGGGTGACGTTTGGGTCTACGTCAACCCTAAAAGCGGAGGTGCTGTAGACGCTACTTTTAGGGTTGACGTAGACCCAAACGTCACCCGGAGGTCCCCCGATGTTGTTGCGGGAGCTGCTGCAATAGCTAACGCTNAGGCACGGGCCACACTTGGTCCGGAGTCAGACAGTCTCTGAAAAGAACTACAGCAGAAGAAGAATGTGACAATCATACATACACAATAATCGACAAATGAGGACACACAAGTTATAAACTCGGCGCGTACAAGGAAAGACTTCCTTCGTCGGAGGACAACAGGAGCGTCGAAAACGAGTTCCGGGGCTGGGGGTCTGAGCCTCCTCGTGGTCCTCAGTCATTCACACATACTTCGCCTCCGCTGTGTGTAGAAAGAGAGAGAGAGACGCTGAGCTGCACCGTGCAGCGATCAGCTGATACGGAGCATAGAGAGAGAGCTCTGCGGTCCGCGGGGCACGGCCTCGCCTCCTGTCCTCACAACTCTTATCAATCCCGGGACCGGACAATTGTTATTTGTTCCTCCTCAGAACCGAGTTTTGCTTCCCAACCCTGCCACTGTGCTACACCTTCCCGCCCCGCCCCGCCCCCGTCTAACTGGACAGAAAGCGGCGAGATGCATTTCCTTAGGAATCGACAAGCAGAACCGAAACTAACATTTATAAACGAACAATTGTGGACACGCACAATTTGCGAATGAGTTCTGCCTTTTGTAAACTGAATTTATCAATAATTTGTCAATAAATCAGGGCGAAAAACGTCACTTGTCCACCGGTCAAGTCAATTGAAAGATCTACTTGTCCGATATTGTAAATAACACGTCCCGGACGGTGGGACGTGTACTTTTTCGCACACTGTTGGCCAATAATAAACTTTCATAAGAATTGTTTTGTTTTTAATCTACTACCGTGTACATTAGGACCCGTCTGATCCCTGTTGAATAATCTATATTTTTAAATCCTGCACATAGGAAATCAGCGCTTTATGATCTGTTAAAGTCAACATTTGAATATTTTTTGGTAGATAAATACTCAAAAGCTCAATTACCTTTGATTTTCATTAACATTTTCACCCAGACAGAAGCATATTCTGATTAAACAATAAACTTGAATGATACTTTACTTTGTTAATCAGGATTTGAACAGCGTCACTGCATAAGAGTCTTCAGGTATTCTCAAATGAATTAGTTACCTTTTTTGAAAATTAAATCAAAGTCCGAAACCTAAACTGAAATTTGTTTTTTAGAATAAGTCCTCTATCGAAGTTTATCATTTACTTTGATAAAGATATCCAGATCTGGTGAGAGGGATTTCTCTTTAGCTTGTACCGTGAGGTCTTTCACCATCATGTCCGTTTCACAGAACAAACTGAAACCACTTCTCAGGTGTAAGTCAGTCTTTTAATCTGAGTTTGTTTGGATCATGAATGTGGATTTTTTTCTGTATGTGCAAAAACATTTAAGAGTTTAGCAGATTTGAATCAACTTGAAAAGATAAGCTACATAGAATCTGTGTGTGTACACCCATTTCAGCGTCAAATTAAAACCCTGCAAATGTGCATACTGTCATGCACTAATTCATTTATATAATTGATTTGAAAAGCCCAGAACACCTTATAACAACAAATGTATTACCAGCTATTCATATGAACTGATTGTATGTTTTTATCATGATTGTTTTGTAACACTAAAATATGTTATGTTTACATGAGTGGTTTTGTAGATGAAACAAAAGATTATGTTTAAATTTAAACATTTTTAAGAGTATATTCATTAAATAAAATCATTCATTTTAACAGGGTTCCTGCAGGTTTCGCCAACTCAAATTTAAGACCACTTTGAATAGAATTTAAGACCTATTTCACGGCAAGAAAGTATAGGAAGTAAAGAAAATTGCTATGAAAGAAGAAATACGTCCCATAATTACTTACAAAGTAAATGTATTCATGTTCAACATAAGAACAATGACTGAACATAACAGCACAGAACTGTTAGCGTGTTAGACAAAAAGTGTGTGTGTGTGTGTGTGTGTGTGTGTGTTTGGGCTGTGCAATTAATCGTATTTTAATCGCAATTACGATTTTGGCCTGCCACAATTACGAAAACATAATCGAAAAAAATATTATTTAGCTTTGTAGGTTGTGACAGTGCACTACAATATATTTGATCTAATTAATTGTAGTCTAATTTATTTTTATGTATCATATTTATATATGTTTAGTAGTTTGTGGAAGTGCGCTCCAAAATATTTGTTGATCTTGTTTATTGGTATTTATTATTTTGATATTATTTATTTAAATCAATCATTTATTTAATTTATTTTTGTATTTTTTTTTCAGTTGAATTATACGTTCAGGGTAATCAACAGTTAAAAAGATACTGTTCAAATTATTATTTGTTTTAACATTCAATAAATGGATGTTTTCAAAGTCAATGAATAACTGGATATCAATTATTGACCAAAAATAATCGTGATTATGATTTTTGCCATAATCGAGCAGCCCGTGTGTGTGTGTGTGTGTGTGTGTGTGTGTGTGTGTGTGTGTGTGCGTGTGTGTGTGTTCGATGTTTTCCAAACAAATACGGTTGAACTTCCCCATATTTATTTGTAAGTAGATTCGAAATACCTGAGTTTCTGACTGCCGCTAGCTGAAGCATGGTTGCTAGGGTTAATAGCTGGGGTGTTCTCCGATAAGGGGACGGGGGGAAATAAAGTTAGTGATTACTGGTTCCATGTTGATTTATTTCAATACAAATTGTTGGGGGGGAACTGAAAGGCTCTTACCGTACTGGTTACTTTGCAGCCCGGACATTTCCCCCAAAACACATTTAGACGCTATCGCAACACAGAAGTACCTGTCAAATCCGATCATTTTTAAGACCTTCTAAATCATATTTAAGACCTTTCTTATTTTTTTGGTCATATTTAAGACCTTTTTAAGGCCTTAACTGCATTACTTTTCCCACAAAGGTTCATGAGAACTTAGTTCATCAGAACTCTTTAGTTCTGATCGTGTTC